TATAGTGCGCAGGTACTTTTTGGAGATCAGATTTTAAAAAAAAATCTACAGAAAAATTAATTGACTGGTCACTGCGACGAAACATTTGATGTGGTCTGATCCATTGATAATTAGGAAACCACAATGAGCGTAACCCTAACAAATGTAATTACCTTAAGTAAACAAATTTACCCAGGTGACCTAACAAGCATGAAAGGCTTGGCAGATTGTATAATTAACGGTTATCTAAGATCCAAATGAACAAACATTCATTTCTTCAAGCTAGCATTGGAGTTAATAAAATCTTTATCATAAATCCACAACTTAATCATTTAATCAATAAATACAGAAAACAAATTATACAGAAATGGAATGTCTTAATTTGTCAACTAAATACAGAAACAGAGAAATAAGAACTAAGATCACGTTTGCGTAAGATCTAAACACTTTGGCATAAATTATAAATATATTGCTTAAATAATGAAGGTATATCATAGGTATATATTATAGGTACATGATAGAATATTATCATGAGCACACGTTTTTATCATTGGTATTATGAATTAATAAACAATATCACAATGAACCAACAACTTCAGTGGATTCAGTGATATTTCCATGAAGAGGCAGCCAATTTGAACACCACAACCACCACATACACAAGTAGAATGGCTTACTTTGGTACAATATATCAATGTTGAAAAGCTGATGTTTCTTATGGAGCACAATGTTTTAAAACAATGCAGTTGTGTACTACAAATAAATATGTACATTTGAATGTTTCTAATATTGTTTGCAATCAAAATTGTTTTTCTTAACTGGCTCTGTCTTTTACTTTCTTTCTAAAATTCATCCCTCTACATACAGTACACCATTCTCTTCCAGAGTGCATGGCAGTACCCTCAATAACATTGTGTATTGTGACTATTCAGGAACGATAACTCTGGTTTAAAATGGGAGTACACCAGCAAGACAGAAAGTATACAACAGGAAGTAGAAATATAGTTAAGTGCAAAATTGAAAACTGCTAGAAAGCTATCATCCTGAAAAATTACACAGAGAAAAAAAATGCAATTTCAATTTTAAAACTTAAATATCACAAAATGAAAAATAAATCTTTGTACTATAAGATCTATATAAATGGTGAAAAAGACAAACTGGAGACAATCATACAAATAAAAAACTCAAGATATATAAGTAAACATGTTAAAAATGATGAGGACAAAAAAAATGATAAAAACGGTATAGTTGTGGAATATGTCCTACACTAAAATATCACTATAATCACACAACTGTTAAATGGGTTATTGAAACTCACTGTGGCAAACACATTTGGTAAAAACTACACAAAAGTGTAATGAAAGATTACTGTGTAAACAAGATATGTAAAAAGATTCCCAGTATGTATCAAACAGACTTGGCACAATGACCCACTTTAAACACAGAGTCAGTGTGTTTCCGTATGTAATTTAATAGATACAGTTCATTTCTAAAATGAGCTTCATAAAATGCATAACAAATTTCTAAAAACTGATTTTATGCTTTTTGTAATCAGGATACATCTTGGTGTCCTTAAAAAGATATTTTTTCCTCTAAATTACTAAAAAAATCAAATAAAATATTCAATGGAAAATAATAAGAACACATGCACTATAGCGCCTAATACTACAACAGAGTAACAATGCCAGCTTTATAGGAAAGTTAATCTTACCAGTATCTTCTACATCGTTCACATGTGTTCCATTCAACATAATGTCAAATCAGATCTATCTTCACACATACAGCTGTAACAATACACTCGCAAGTCATACACTAAAATATCACTATGAAACAAAACTGTATAATAACTTAATTATTTATATAAAAAAAACCATTTCTATAGGAATAAAATAACACACAATGGTTGATATATTTTAAAGCACATCTATAAAGTGTTGTGACTCTCAAACCATTGCAGTATTGTTTGCCCACATGTGCTTACACTATACCTAGTTCTACCTACTGACTACATCACGTTTAAACTGCTGATGATTCAGCTATTCCTCGAGCAACCAGAACAGGAGGGAGGGCCTGTAATAAGGGTCCATAAAATGCAGGGAAGATTGGAGAGAAAGGCCAGAGAGAGAGGACAAAGACTAGAGGGTGGGGACTTACACTGGAGGCAAGGATTGAGGAAGAAGCCAGAGGGTAGGGGCTAAGATTGGAGGGTGGGGACTAAGAGTGGAGGGAGGGACTGAAAGGAAAGGACATATACTGGAGGGAAGATTTGAGGGAGAGGGCAAGGGGAGGGAACTGAGACTAAAGGGGACTAAGACTAGAGGGAGGGGACTTACAGTGGAGGGGATGTATATTGGAGGAAAGGTTTAAGGGAGAAACCAGAGGGTAGGAACTAAGACTGGAGGGAAGGGACTAAGATTGGAGTGAGGGGACATATACTGGAGGGAAGATAGGAGAGAGAGAGAGGCCAGACAAGGGGACTAGGACTGCAGGGAGGGACTAAGGCTGAAGGACAAGACTAAGACTAGAGGGAGGGTGGGGACTAAGGCTAGAGGGCAGGAGTTATACTGGAGGAAAGTTTTGGGGAGAGGTCAGAGGTAGGGGACTAAGACTGAAGGGTGGAGAATAGGACTTGAGGGATAGGGAAAAAGGCTGGAGGAAGGAGGGGGTTAAGATTGGAGGGAGAGGCCAGGGGACTAAGAAAGGAGAGAGGGGCTAGAAAAGGGATGAAGACTGGAGGAAAGGGCTGAAAGAGGGTATAAATATTGACAGAAGTGGGCTAGAACTAGAGGGAGGTCATTTGGACTGGAGGGGGTAAACAAGGATTGGAGGGGGGAATAAGGACTGGAGGGAAGATACTAGGACTTAAGGGAAGGAACTAAACTGGAGGGAAAAGACTAAGAATAGAGGGAAGGGACAAGAGCAGAGGGAGAGGTAGACCTGGTTACAATGCAACCCCAGACCACGGTAATAGTAATGACTGTCAGTACAAATAGGGACTAGCACTTGCGGACAATTTACACCTCTAATAATTGTGTTAATATAATCCTTAATCACAGTAAAATTTTACAAACCAACTTAACACTTGTTGGAATCTTAATCTTGGTCACCAATCACACAATCAGTTATGATTTAAATATGTTCAACATTTTGATTATCTAGATACTCTGAAATTCCTCTCAATAAGTTAGACTAACCAACTGGTATACAAAATATCCCTATTTCTTTACAGATCAATCTCTCCATTGTGACTACTTGTCAATCATAAAATTGAAGTTTACAGATACAAAAGAGTTACTACTATCATAGGCTCATGTGGCTAGATACTATTTTGTCAGATATGATTTTTGAGCCCTTTTTTGTGGGTCATTCCTTTATTGGCTGTTCTTTCTCTGTCTAAACAGGACATTTTGGATTTTTTTTTTTTTATTTCTTCCAGATGACTTGAGATTCTGTAAAATGAGAATCAATGAAGTGGTTGTGCCCATCCAATGAGAAAACTCAAATCATGATTTAATTCTAGAAACATTTAGGTGTTTCCAATTCACAGACCTTTAGCACAAATCAAGCAGTTTCTTCATCAGACTCAAGATGCTGAAATCTGATACTCTTCATGGATGGCAATACTCTAGTAAGATGATCAAAATTGAGAATTTCAATACCCAAGTCCCTCAATTATTTTCAATTTCTGTATAGTGGTGGTGGTGAAGGAACTTTGTCAATTTGAAGCATTAACAACCAGGAAATTAAAATTTTACAGTGTAAAGCACACACAACCTCTCACATCTCGCACATACAGACTTACTCAGAAGGATCACAATCTATCTCGCACTCCAAGAAAATTGATCCCACTCTGTTAAATATTCAGCATTAATAGATGTTAGTGATATATTGTTGGTGTGATTAAGGGTAATCTTCCTGACAGTACAATGATGTTGGACTCTACACACAACACTGTTTCGGCCAATAAACACTCTATCTGACACTGTCTTCACCGTAACAGATTCTGTATATGGGAACCTCATACATTACATTTTTCTCTGTATTCGGGAACCTCAAGTTTTAGTCTAAACTTAAAGGTGATAACAGCTGAAGTCTCAGATGATAAACAATGCTAGTTGTGTATTATAGGAATCAAAAACAGTTACCACACAACATCTACAATACACAACATAGGAATCAAAAACGACTATCATACAACATCTACAATCCACAACATAGAGATCATATCATGCAGGATTACCACATGGAGTTAATCATCATATGTAACCCAAATCAGAACAGTATCATGATATATGGTTAACACACAAGATACCGGTAATTATACAAACATACTGACCAGACAATGTGTTAATCTAAGTGCATGCTTACATTTTGATTATAACATATTAAGAACAAAGAAAAAAATATCCTGAACCTAGATATTTTTCAGTAGAATAAATTACAACCTTACACAAGAATGAAACAAATACATGCTAGGCATGGAGATAACAATAACAAAGATATTGGTTTATACAGAGGAATCTGTAAGATAAATATACAACCTGATCAAACTTAACAAGATTGCACAGTTCAATATCTACCCACTGACCAGTCATTGCTGGTCAATCCTGATTACTGACCAGTCATTGTTGGTCAATCCTGATTACTGACCAGTCATCACTAATCAATCCTTATTACTGACCAGCAACTGTGGTCCATCCCAGACCATACAAGAGCATTATCCAATCATATAACAAACAAAGGGGCCAAGGGGCCTGTATCACTCATTGTTATAATTTCATCAATCACAGCAAAGTACAAATATTTATTGATTTGGGTTGTTGCTGTCTGAGAGACCTTTTCATTCAATAATGCTCACGACCAGATTGGATCCAATTCTCTACAATTCTCTTTTAAGTACTGAATTAAAGAAAATGTTAAAAGACACTGGGTCCAAGCCTAAGATCAGATTGGTAGTTTTTAGAACCAGTTTAGCTTCAGAAAAACTGTTGGTAACAACTGTTTTTTGATAAAATGGTATTATACTACAGTCTAAAACATTTAAAAGCATTAAATACTTTGCTAGTTCATAGACTGTGGACAACTCTATAAACACATTAAACACTGATCCATTGACACTGAAGTTAGTGTGTAAACTCAAGAAATAAACTCATCTTTATCTAAATTAACGTCACACAACCATATTAGTGCTGGACTAATTTACACAACTTCACTTTCCTATTGATTTTGATTACCTGGTATAGCACTTTTTGCTTTTATATCAATATTAAGTGCTTTTTAAAAACAGCAAGCTAAATGTACTATAGAAACTTGTCTCCAATCATCACAATGTCCAAAGAATTAAATACAAACCTGCAAGAATATCTACATCCTAACAGTATAAATGAGCACTGAATGCGATTGAAACAGAAATATGTTTGATTATCAACAGTTTGACTTTAACATGGTTTTACAAATTATAGTATACTAACTTCAGTTCTTCCAGTTCCTTTTACAATTCTATTGTTGAGTAAACAGGAATATTTATAGATATTATGTGATATTTATAGCACATAAGGACATTTATAGGGACCATGTTATATCAGTAGATATTGAGTGATGAAAGACGGACAGCAACTTTTGGCAGGTATATAGTAGCACAACAGTTTAAAACACTTTATATTTTGAAGAAGACAAAATCTGCTATTTCACAACATTAATAAGACATAAGCTAATTGGCCATTAGGATTTGTGTCTCCTAAATGTAGTGGTCTAAACTCGCTCGGTTGCACTGATAATGCTGATTGGCTGTTGTTCACTTTGTTCCAGGGATTCTTGCAAAGGAGGTTGTACCTCTGTTTCCACTGGCTGGTCTCCTATCATTTCTGTATCTCCATCCATTGGTTCATATTCAGATGGCTGGTTAAGGTCCATGAACCGTATTCCTCTGAGGACAAAATATAAAAAATCAAACTTTATATCACACAGACAAGTATTTACAAGATTGAAATTAGCTTTCTCAATACACAACATTTCTTTAAAAAATGAAATGCTACATAACTTATGATCTGTATAGAACATTTCGAATATTCCTTCTATTTTTTTTCTTTTTCAATTTTAAATGTATTAAGATACCTAAATATCATTTCTCACAGACATTATTCATTGTGTTTAGTAACAACAAGATGAAGGATGGAGCATCAATGCCTGGGATTCCATGGATTTAGGTTTTATTGGTTTACATGTTTCGGTTGGCTAGGCCAACCGTCTTCAGAACCCACGGAATCCAAGGCCTTGTTGCTCCATCCTTCATCTTGTTGTTAGTACATATCATCTATGGAGCTGTGCTAGAATACTCCTGTATCCACCTAGGATTCCTGCTCCGACATATCTATCGATCAGTACCACCCACCGGACGTTGGACCCCTCCACCCCTTTTTTTTTATTTTTACACATTGTGTTTAGTAGTTGGTAGAGTAGATTTCCAGACAAGACTTTTACATTCCACATCAGTTACATGACAAAAATGACAGGTGGGACGAGGATGGCTATTTTGTTTGAAAGCTGGTAAGGTTGGTCACCATACTTGACTTTTAAATTTCACATAACTTACAGAACAAAAATGACAGGTAGAATGAGGATAGTGATTTTGTTTTGAAGCTGGCTTGTTGTTTATTATATTAAACTTTTATATCTTCATTACTTACATGACAAATGCCACAGGTAGGATGAGGAACAGGACAGAAATTACAAAGACAAATCCTGTGAAGTAGTGTAGGGTGCCAGCGTACATGGCCTGGAACATGAGGGGCGCCAGGAAGTATGATATACTTTCTCCACAGTGCATCAAGGCAAACAAGGAACCTAAAAGGATAAACATTTAAGATTATAATACTTTAGGAAAACAGTGAACCGAAATCATTACAGTCTCACCATCTGGACAAAAATTTGTGACATCATCTGCATATTAATCAGTGATCTTCTCATAAAGAAGAAAATACCACAATCAGAGCAACTAACTTGATTTTTTTTATCATTTTTGAGTTTGAGTAAATTACTTCTGAAAATGGATGCCCGAAGATTCAATGCGAATATATTAGAATGGAATTTGCTCTGTGATTTGTTTGAATCTACAACTGATCTCAAAGTAACATCCAGAAATAGAGCTACTCGAAACCTCTTTATTTCAAAATGCAGTGCTACAAACTGTTATAGGATTCGCTCTCACAAACACAAATCAGAACAAAGCGATGATCTTTAGTCATACTTTAGTGTATAATGCTTCATATAAAAACATTACTAACTGGCCACATGTTATCTGTACAGACCAGGAAAATTTACCTGGATTGAACCTACTGCTTATACAGTTAATTAGAGACAAAATATTTTATCTTGGTAACATACCTTGATCTGGAGTTTCAATTCCATTGGCAACTATAGACCTCAACATTGGGAAGGGAAGTAACTCCAACACCAACAGGAGGATAGCTGTAAAAAGCATAAACATCAGCTACAATACAACTTATTTCTTCATAATATAGCACATTTCATGGAAGAAGTAATAGTACAACATAACATTCCCATAACATGAAACTCATAAATGGTGAACACCTTCCCTAGATCCAGAAATTCATAAATAGTGTACACATTCCTCAGATCAAGAAATGAAATACACATTTTCAAGACCAAGAAATTAAGATGTAATAACGTCATGGACCAAAGAAATTGTATACACATTTTCTGGACCAAGTTAATGTGCACACATTTCTCAGACCAAAAATGCCCCTAGCTTCCATGTTTCTTTTTCCTTATTTTCACACCCAATTGGTGTGTTGGTATAACACAAATATGGCTGTACAAAGAAGTATATATATTATGTTGACTTACAAAAGTAGAGTACTGTTTCATTTTTAACAACAGCTATCCAAAGTGTTCCAATAGCTTTCGAGAACAGACCAGCAAAAGTGATACTGGTGTCTGAGAGTATTAGCTTCAGCACAGGTGGAGTAGACACCGTCCCAATGGCAGCAACTGCCATTATGACAGACAGGAACATGCCAATTCTGGCAGTAGGCCAACCATAAGGAGGTCCTCGTAGGTACAAGACCAGGGTATTTATCTGTCCAATGTGGACAATCGCATATGTCTGGAAAGCAAGTATTGCAAGCCAAACTTTCACCATCTTACGGTTGGTACAACGAAAAAATTTCCCCATGGGTTTGAATGTATCAATACAGCAATTTTCACTGGTGTAGTTCCTCGTGGTTTGAACATTTTCTGGAATCTTGACCTCCTTGACTAAGAAGAATGATATCAAAAACGCTATTGCACTGCAAATTAATGTGAACCAAAATGGTTGAAGAAAACCCCAATCTTTCACCCAGAATCCAGCCATAATATTTGCAATTGCATACGCTGCACCATTCAGGAATTCCTGGAGTGCCAATCGCCAAGCTCTCTTCTCTGGCTCAACAGAATTAATTGCAAAAAAGGTACCGCCAGCATAAAATGCAGTCATGCTGCCACTGAGGCCTCTCAAAGCTGATGCCATGAAGAGACCATCAATGGTCCAGCCTGTGTACAGGATAAGTATGTAGATGAGAGAGTAGAGGAGGCTACCGAACGCTGGTACCCATAACAACATTTTTCTTTTGCCAGATCTGTCACTGAGAGCCCCCAGGATGATAACAGTCACCACGGATGGCAGGCCTTCAGCCATTTGCAAGCCCAACACTGCCATGATACTCTCCTTGTGGGCCTCATAATACGGACCGGGTTGGTTCTCGTCATCGGGTGGAAAGTAGATTTCTTCGTGGTCAACAACCGTGTTGTTAAGACCATGTTGTTTATATATCTCCGACTGAACATACTCCTGAAACAACGGTAATGTCATGTGCCTAGAAAGAAAAAACGTGAAATATGCAACTTCGACGAGGTAAGGTTGTATCGTATCGATAATGTCCATACACCAATCGTTCAGTCTTTGCAAGCGGCTCATGTTGAAGAGTTTGACAATCTTATTTGAAGATCAAGTTTACATTCTAAGTTTTGCCATCCAATAAAAAAAATCCCGAGAAAATTTAGTTATGTTTCCATTTTCTAATCAGTAGTCCTTCGTTCATGCTTAAACGACAACTTCCGGAAACACTGCGCCTCGATCGCGTGATGAAAGGGAGATTATTCTAAAAGGCTTTCACTCTCTCTCTAGCTTTCTCTCTCTATATATATTTATAGCGAATGTTCAGTAGGTCTTTGTGATATGTGATTTATGGAATTATTTTATTACAAAAGAAAATATAAAAAAGGAAAAATAAATAAATAAAGAGATAAGTGAATTAAAGAAATGTTTATGTATATAATATAATACAGTGTGAGAGGCCTCATAATGCGCCTCTGACGATATTAGCTATAAATAGAAAAATAAATAAGTATCTAGACATATCACAATAGACAAATTATTCCAAATATCCTTAACCTCCTTAGACTCTGGTTCAGTGCCAAATGATGTAATTAAAACCGGGAGGTAAGCAACAGTCCTTTGAATTGGGTCTCAAATATTTAATTGATGGTATAACGTCATCGGTCTGGCGAAGGTACAATATCAAGGCATGAGAAACCGAGAACTTCAATATCTCAAAACCAACAATCAATATGTTCTCCCCCACAGTCCTGCAACTCTTCAGCCATAATAACCCTCCATCCCTACTCCGGCGTACACACATAATCATGTAATAGTTTGTCTTTTTTTTTCTTCTTTTACATTTTTAATCCGCCTTAAGTGACATCACTAAAACAGTTAATGATAGATCTATTATAAGATTGAATATGGGATGTCACAATAATGAAAATGGGATGTCACTACAAAATATAGGTCATATCAATGTATTATGGTAATATCACCAATTCAGTTGGTGATAATATCATAATGAATACACATTTGTGATATAATCATTTGAGATGATGGATCACATGATCGTTTCAATGATGTCACTACGAGGAATAGAAAGTAAAACGGCATCCACATCCCCAGCTATCTAGTGTGTTCAATAAGAAAACTCTTTCTCTCAAGTTTCCACCAAAGTGTTTAGCCATAATAAGACTCATACGCCCTTGGTCCACCACGGTACTCAACCAAAATAGCCATCAGGGATTCCAATCAGAATAATTCCCTGTCTCCAGCCCTCCAGAGTTTCCAATCAGAATAACCCCATGTCTCCAGCCCTCCAGAGTTTCCAATCAGAATAACCCCATGTCTCCAGCCCTCCAGAGTTTCCAATCAGAATAACCCCATGTCTCCAGCCCTCCAGAGTTTCCAATCAGAATAACCCCATGTCCCCAGCCCCAGAGTTTCCAATTAAAATAACCCCTGTCCCCAGCCCCCAGAGTTTCCAATTAAAATAACCCCTGTCCCAAGCCCCCAGAGTTTTCAATCAGAATAACTCTTGTTAATAGGGGTCTGAAGTAGATTAGGGGTCCTACTAATTTCGGGGAGGGGGATCCTTACGCTCATCGTTGCTGAAATGTGTAAGTCCTTTTTTAGCCTTTATAGGGTTTCCTTTTTTTATTTGACTATTTGTGTTTATGTGTTTGTTGTATGTGTTTTATGTGAAATTAAAGTTCTTCGCTTCAATTAGATGGTAAATAAGTGTACCTGACGAGGTGACAGGTCTGTAAAATACACATAAAATTTTGTTTTATTTGAGTGTGGTGTTATGTTTCCTTGTGATTGTTCCGTTGTCAAGTATATGGTGTGTATGTTTTATGTGATAATACAGTTCTTTACTTAAGCTGTTAAATAAGTGCACCTGCAAAGGTGACGAGTCTGTAAAATACATGCAAATCTATGTTTAGATTTACGTGGATGTGTTGGTTATAGGGTTCCTGGCAAAAGAACCCTACTGTTACTCTACGGTGCCCCATATTAAGAGCATGGTGTCCCCTGTCCTGAAGGTGGTGTTGTAAATATACCTATGTGGTTGGCAAGTATTGTGTGGGGTTTTGATAATCAGAAGTGGAGCCCTACTGTGTACCTTACAGCGCCCGTGTAATGTTGAATTTGTATATGATGTGGAGTTTTGTTGTAAACCGATTTCGGCAGTGGGCGTTCACCGGCCGTGTGCAGTGGGAAACCACGGGGGACACCACTGCCCTCGTTGTACGTGACTATTTTTACAGATGTTTATGCAGGGGGTTACTGAGGTGGGCTCTGTTGTGACCTGTTCACGTGGGGAAGATCTTGGAAGGGTACAAACACACATTAACCTACTGGTCCCACAACAATATACCGCATCTCTCACTAAGGCACACACAGTATGTACAAACCCTCAATATAATATCCCCTATACATTACCAACGTCAATAACACATAGAAAGTTGGAAATGTAGCATAAGTCCCAGAGGCCACTGGACGCCCCGAAGACCAAGACGGGATAAAAGACCTGAGACTTCCTCCTCGCCACCTCCAGACTACTTTGCTGCCGGCTATCAAATAGGTATCGTTAAGGCACATTTAGGTCGGGAGTCGTCATCAAAATTTTAGTCAGATTAAAAATAGGATAAGGATAGGTTTAAGACGACTCCCATCTCTACCTCCTTCTACCCCTCTCTACTCTATCTCTACATACTTTTACCCTTCTACTCTCCTTCCTATCTGCTGTACACTGTCATGTACGGTGATGAAGTAGACGTAAAACCACTCAAAATGAAATCAAATCAAATCAAAAAGCAGGGGATGGGGCACAGAAGAGGACACCGCAGACTTCCTGAGGCGTCGGTGCGCAAAAATGAACGAGAGGATCATTAAAAAAAATAATCCCTGGTACAGTCTCCTTGTATCTGATGTTATATTTTGTTGTAGAAACTTATTGGTTTTAAATATCTGATAATTGTGTTGTGGACAATGTCCGGTTTATCCAGTGAAGCCAGGAAGCTATTAGTACTGCCATAGCTGTAAAATGTTTAGAACAGAAAAAGAAGACACGATCAATTGTTTCCAAATTATCATGGAGCTCGCAGTTTGATGATATCTGTTTCAATTTTGTTTTTCTTAACGGTAATCTTTTGTCATGTGATTTACTGTGACCGTATAATTGATTAAAACCATGTACTTTTGACTTGCTTTTTCTTTGATTTTCCCGAGATTGTTCGAGTTACTTTTCTATCCTATTTTGTTCTGTAGCTTTATTTATCAGCGAGTAGACTTCTGTTTTGGTAAGATTGATGTAGATCGTGACATCGTGATCTAAAAATGTCCTCGCTAATTCATCTGCTGTTTCATAACCAGGGATATTTACATGAGATGAGATGTATGCAAACTCGCCTGGAGGAAAACTCCCAGATCTACATGTACTATATTTTTGTTGGATTTTTGAACCGTCTGTATAGTATTGAACTGTTATTATTATCATCAATGATTGTCATGGATACTGGCCTCTGTTAGATTTAGTTTTTCTTGCGTGAAGAATTTCATAATTGATTTCTGGGGTAGTTAAAAGCCGTGGGTCAATCGGAATGTTTGATAGTTCATGTATTTTAATGTTATGTAGCCTGATTTTTCAAAGATATATTAACAAGCTGATTATTGTATGCTGCTCGCTGATGTAATTCTATTTCATTTCTATACACAATTTTCCAATCATCTTCAACTTGTTTATTGGGAGGGAAAGGTGGTCCTAAAGTTTCTGTCCTGGCTCAATATTCGAAAATTAGTTTCTGTCGTCGAAGTTTTAATGTCAATTCGTCCGATTCTGCTTGTAAACTAACAGTGTGATTTTGATAGCTCCCAGCACTATTCCTAAGGTTCTATGCTGTATTACATCTAACGCCTTGAGTACATTATCGGAGGCCGAATGGTACACTTGACAACTATAATCTATTTTTGATCTGATAACAGTTCTTTACAGTTTAATAATGTAGTTTTGTTGGAACCCAGAATATTTCCAGAATCAATGGTAAGTGTATTAAAAGCTATTTACACCTTTCTGTTATGTATTTTACGTGTGGTTTCCATGATAGTTTTGGGTCCAAAAAATATGCCAAGATATCTAACTCTACTTAACGTACTCAGTGCGCTTGTCGCCCAGATTTTCTTGAATTTTCTAGAGAAAGATATAGCAACTGTTCATTCATCAGCCCAGTTCTAAATTTTGTCCACGGATGTTTGGATTAGTGAAACCGTTCCTTGTAATTACTTGTTAGTTATCCAAATACTAGTATCATCTGCAAATTGGGCTAACTTGAGTTGAGTTGAGTTGAGTTTATTGCGTGTGAATATTGTTTGAGATGTTGATTAATTTTATGAAAATGTTAAACAAAATAGGGGAGATAACACTATCCAAGGGACGCCATTATGTACAGGTTTCTCCTATGAGCTTCTGAGTTGTTTCCCCTTACTGGAATTATCCTATCTTTCAAAAGGCGGGTTATAAATCTATAAAGATTAAAGATCATAGGAGATAGATAGGGTTATAAAGATTACCTAGTGATACCAATATCCTTAAGAGATAACAAAAGTCCTTTCTGCGAGAATAGATCGTAAGTTTTTCCTCGATCTAGAAACACTGCTGTACAATGTTGGTTTTTCAGATATCTGTTTTTTAACCTCAGACGTACTTCTGACGAGTGAGTCTAATGTTGATCTGTTGTTTCTTAGACGAGAGGATCAAATGGTTGGCTATAAAAAGTGTCGCTCCTACCTGGGACATCTGTGGTATAAGAGGGGAAAATTAAGCGAGTGTGTATTAGACCTTAGGACCTTGCAATGCTAATAAACCCTTGTTAATATCCCTCCGGAGTTTCCCATCGGAATAAGCAATTGTTTATAACCCTTTGAAGTTTCCAATCAGAAAAAAACCCTTTGTTAATAGCCCTCCGGAGTTTCCCATCGGAATAAGCTCTTGTTGATAGCTCCTCCTGAGATTCCCATCGGAATAAGCCCTTGTTGATAGCTCACAGGAGTTTCCAATAAGAGTAAGCCTTTGTTAGTAGTTTTCTGGGGTTTCTACGTAGAATTTACCGCCATGTCCAGCCTTTCAGCTCTTTACTTCTCTGTAAAAGTTACTTCTCCCGAACAGATCACCTCAAGGTTTCAACACGTCACAGTGATACGGACCGGCATACATTATTTGTATAGTTTCGACTTTGTGGAACAGGTTTAGTTGCTTGACTTAATCGCCTCTTAGGTTGCAAATGCAGATCCCTACTCCTTTTCTCACCGCTACGTCACAAATTTCATTGGGTGGCTTTAAAAATATACTCACATTTAAATATAATATATTGAACATTGTAACACAACTGATGAAGGAAGACAATTTTTGAATAGTGTCATGTCCAGGCATTGACCTCACGATCTACGGCAACAAATTACTGCAGAGCCAAGAATTTCCAAACTGCCTAACCATTACACCACCACGACATCACCAAACGGGATGTTATGGAAGTTGTACTGATAGCAGGAAATGCTCGACATAGCAAAGTGGAGTAGGAACAAACAGCAACAATAACAACCAAATAGAAAGCTCCTGTTGTAACTCAGTAATTTTCAAACTCCTTGGGAATGACAATCTGATAGCCTATAATTCGCGAGTAAAGGGTTGAAAAGACGGTATATATCTATATAAGTATCCATTATAAGACAGTCTTGGTTATAGTGAATTTAAAACAAAAAGATAAGTTCATAATTTTATCATTTTCTATCCGTTTATTTATTTAATGGCTAAAGGGTGACAACTACGATGGCGATATTTTCTAACAACATAGGCAAATGTATGGCATTGCATTTTGACGTCATTTCATTGTCAGCGTTGTAAAAGTAATGAATTGTGACGTCACCATGGTCTGTGGTGGCAACAAGGCCCTATCATGCAGAGCCGTCGGGTGAATCGCAGGGTGGTGGACAGCGACTGCAGCAATGGGATATCAGAGTGTGTCTATTGGAACGAGCATCAAGTGGCGAACTGGGTCGAGGAGCAGGGCTTCCCGCAATATAAGGTGAGGAGCAGGGCTTCCCGCAATATAAGGTGAGGAACAGGGCTTCCCGCAATATAAGGTGAGGAGCAGGGCTTTCCGCAATATATTGTGAGGGGCAGGGCTTCCCGCAATATTGGATAAGGAACAAGGTTTATCGCCATATAAGGTGAGAAGCGAGAAGGTATCCCCACTGTTTGAGGCGAGGGACTGGTTATCTGCAGTATATGGTGAGGAGGAGGGCTTCCTGTAGTATTACGTAAGGAACAGGGTTTATCGCCATATAAGGTGAGGAGCAGGGCTTCCCGCAATATAAGGTGAGGAACAGGGTTTACTGTAGTATTAGATAAGGAACAGGGTTTATTGCCATATAAGGCGAGGAGCAGGGCCTCCCGCAAAATATTGTGAGGGGCAATATTGAATAAAGAACAAAGTTTATCGCCATATAAGGTGAGGAGCAAAAGGGGATCCCCACTGTTTGAGTTTAGGGGCAGGTTACCTGTAGTATGAGGTTAGGAATAACTTTTCCTGTAATATAAGGTGAAGGACATCTACAGTATACAGGACAGGGTGTGGGTGTTTAAGTTGATGAACAAGACATCCTACAGTGTCGGATGAGGATTAGGTTTATATAATCAGTTTCGAACGCTTAATTGATGGGGAAATACTTACACGTATGAAAATGATAAGAAACATGATGTAAAATTTCCAATGACTTGTTTCCGCTGAACTTAACTTTACGTGTCCACTTTATAGTGTATTTGAGGGATTTTGTATGATCTACCCAATTTTGTGCATTTGATGAAAATTTTGCCAAAGATCGCCACGGCTCCCAAACTTCTGACTGCTTTGAATCTGATATGTTTCCCTGATAGGAGTCTGGTGTAGAGGACTTGTCTTAGTCCTGAACCGGAAATAAACTTAACTTAACTTAACTTACATTTGTGGTCCCATTGCTATCCATTGTAACACGCAGTTTAGTTTCTATTATGCTTTATCATAGAAAAATATTCCAGTGATACTTTAGGCTGGTTTGGATGTGACTAGTGAAACACATTGTCTATGTTTGGAAATGTGAAACATCATGACATTTTCCTTTTGTACTAATTTATGATTCTGCGTATATTCACACAGATGTTCCCGTGATAAATTGTAGTCATCTAAACAATAGGATATATCTAAAAGTAGGTTATTCGTTCTTTTCTAATTCTAATTTCAGGAAAGTTTTCTGAGTAATTTCGTCACTGGGCGGATGTTGATAGCTATAGACACATCAGCTTTGCCGAGTATGGGTGTGAATGACTTCGATGATATGAAGGTGAGTACCTTAACATTCACAATACATCGGTAATTAGGTATAAATATAGAGACTACGTACCTTATAACATGATGACTAGGTCGAGCACACGCGTACATTAAACATACACACAGAATGGAAATGGTTACTGTACAGAATTTACGTTTCAAGGATTCGGACACTACCGTTTTTGATGTCATGAAAAATGACCAGCACAAGGGTCATTTCATTCGTTGGGTGCCTCGCTCCAAATACGATATGTGCGTGTTATGTTCTCGTTGTATGGGGTCATTTGTTACTTCCAACTTAGGATGGTATTTCACACAGCTAAGTAAAACCAAAAAGCAGACCAAAAAACAAGGGCACAGTATGCACCAGCATTTAGCTTGAACATACAGTCTAAAGGTGAACGATCGGTTTATACATGAAGAACGACGCAATATCTATTAGTAAAAAGACTTAAATACTAGAAACTATCGCTCAGGCATGAAATTCTAGGTAACTACTTTATGTAAAATGTCTGAAATAATATTTAAATCATGTGTCTTTACCATGAAATCTTCTCTTTTTATCCTTGATACCCACCGTTTATACCATTGTGACTCATTTTTTAAACATTGATACCCATTGTTTATACCCTTGATACCCACTGTTTATACCCTTGATACCCACTGTGTATACCCTTGATACACACTGTTTATACCTTGATACCCACTGTTTATACCCTTGATACCCACTGTTTATACCCTTGATACCCACTGTTTATACCCTTGATACCCTCTGTTTATACCCTTGATACCCTCTGTTTATACCCTTGATACCCTCTGTTTATACCCTTGATACACACTGTTTATACCATTGATACCCTCTGTTTATACCCTTGATACCCAGTGTTTATACCCTTGATACCCACTGTTTATACCCTTGATACCCTCTGTTTATACCCTTGATACCCTCTGTTTATACCCTTGATACACACTGTTTATACCCTTGATACCCTTTGTTTATACACTTGATACCCTCTGTTTATACCCTTGATACACACTGTTTATACCATTGATACCCTCTGTTTATACCCTTGATACCCAGTGTTTATACCCTTGATACCCACTGTTTATACCCTTGATACCCACTGTTTATACCCTTGATACCCTCTGTTTATACCCTTGATACCCTCTGTTTATACCCTTGATACCCACTGTTTATACCCTTGATACCCTCTGTTTATACACTTGATACCCTCTGTTTATACCTTTGATACCCACTGTTTATACCCTTGATACCCTCTGTTTATACCCTTGATACCCTCTGTTTATACCCTTGATACACACTGTTTATACCATTGATACCCTCTGTTTATACCCTTGATACCCAGTGTTTATACCCTTGATACCCACTGTTTATACCCTTGATACCCACTGTTTATACCCTTGATACCCTCTGTTTATACCCTTGATACCCACTGTTTATACCCTTGATACCCTCTGTTTATACCCTTGATACCCACTGTTTATACCCTTGATACCCTCTGTTTATACCCTTGATACCCACTGTTTATACCCTTGATACCCTCTGTTTATACACTTGATACCCTCTGTTTATACCCTTGATACCCACTGTTTATACCCTTGATACACACTGTTTATACCCTTGATACCCTTTGTTTATACACTTGATACCCTCTGTTTATACCCTTGATACCCACTGTTTATACCCTTGATACACACTGTTTATACCCTTGATACCCACTGTGTATACCCTTGTTACCCACTGTTTATACCCTTGATACCCTCTGTTTATACCCTTGATACCCACTGTTTATACCATTGATACCCTCTGTGTATACACTTGTTACCCACTGTTTATACCCTTGATAAAGCTAGTTTAGTTGTGTAGATACAGATTCGAGTCTGCCAATCTCCAACACAATGCAGTATATCATTCTGAAAAATATATTTAAGCCTCACATTGTCCACTTCACCATGACAAGACCAATTTTAGTGAGGATTTACTTGTTCAAATAATGGATACGCCGAGAAACGGTATTGAAGGCTAGCAATAAAATCGTTCCTGGTGACATTCTAGATCACGTGTCATAGCAATAAAATTGTCACTGTTTATATGCTAGATCAATCATATGTTGTAGATAACACCTTTGTCCAAACACCAGATCATGTTCTAGTTATCATCACTGTTGACATTCTAGATCACATGTCCTAGCAATGAAATCATCGCTGTTGACATTCTAGTTCACATGTCATAATAATGAAATCATCACTGTTGACATTCTAGATCACGTTTTAGAAGTCGTCACTGTTGACATTCTAGATCACGTTTTAGAAGTCGTCACTGTTGACATTCTAGATCACATTTTAGAAGTCGACACTGTTGACAATCTAGATCATGTTTTAGAAGTCGTCACTGTTGACATTCTAGATCACGTTTTAGAAGTCGTCATTGTTGACATTCTAGATCATGTTTTAGAAGTCGACACTGTTGACAATCTAGATCATGTTTTAGAAGTCGTCACTGTTGACATTCTAGATCATGTTTTAGAAGTCGACACTGTTGACAATCTAGATCACGTTTTAGAAGTCGTCATTGTTGACATTCTAGATCATGTTTTAGAAGTCGTCATTGTTGACATTCTAGATCACATTTTAGAAGTCGACACTGTTGACAATCTAGATCACGTTTTAGAAGTCGTCACTGTTGACATTCTAGATCATGTTTTAGAAGTTGTCACTGTTGAAATTCTAGATCACGTTTTAGAAGTTGTCACTGTTGACAATCTAGATCACGTTTTTGAAGTCGTCATTGTTGACATTCTAGATCACATTTTAGAAGTCGACACTGTTGACAATCTAGATCATGTTTTAGAAGTCATCACTGTTGACATTCTAGATCACGTTTTAGAAGTCGTCATTGTTGACATTCTAGATCATGTTTTAGAAGTCGACACTGTTGACAATCTAGATCATGTTTTAGAAGTCGACACTGTTGACAATCTAGATCATGTTTTAGAAGTCGACACTGTTGACATTCTAGATCACGTTTTAGAAGTCGTCATTGTTGACATTCTAGATCATGTTTTAGAAGTCGTCACTGTTGACATTCTAGATCACGTTTTAGAAGTTGTCACTGTTGACATTCTAGATCAAGTTTTAGAAGTCGTCACTGTTGACGTTCTAGATCACGTTTTAGAAGTTGTCATTGTTGACAATCTAGATCATGTTTTAGAAGTTGTCACTGTTGACATTCTAGATCATGTTTTAGAAGTCGTCACTGTTGACGTTCTAGATCACGTTTTTGAAATTGTCATTGTTGACAATCTAGATCATGTTTTAGAAGTTGTCATTGTTGACATTCTAGATCACGTTTTGGAAGTCGTCACTGTTGACATTCCAGGCCACGTTGTTTAGTCTAGATAACCAATTCTAGCTTTATCTATGAAATTATCAATATTTTGTTTGTAGCTCAGATCTCCATCAATATTTTGTATGTAGCTCAGATCTCCATCAATATTTTGTATGTAGCTCAGATCTCCATCATTATTTTGTATATAGCTCAGATCTCCATCAATATTTTGTTTGTAGCTCAGATCTCCATCAATATTTTGTATGTAGCTCAGATCTCCATCTATATTTTGTTTGAAGCTCAGATCTCCATCAATATTTTGTTTGTAGCTCAGATCTCCTTCAATATTTTGTTTGTAGCTCAGATCTCCTTCAATATTTTGTTTGTAGCTCAGATCTCCATCAATATTTTTTTTGAAGCTCAGATCTCCATCAATATTTTTTTTGAAGCTCAGATCTCCTTCAATATTTTTTTTGAAGCTCAGATCTCCATCAATATTTTGTTTGTAGCTCAGATCTCCATCATTATTTTGTATGTAGCTCAGATCTCCATCATTATTTTGTATGTAGCTCAGATCTCCATCAATATTTTGTTTGTAGCTCAGATCTCAATCAATATTTTGTTTGTACCAGAAGGTAATCAATGGAAATCTTTTGCTTGTAGCACAAGTGAGCTAGAGGTTTAAACATTCTCGTGAAATGATTCTTTCAGCGGTTGACCAAACTGATTCGGGACCTGATTGGAATTCCCAAATTACATCACAAGCCTGAAGTTGCCATGAGGAATCCAAAGGTAGCCTACCTAGAGTTGAAACGTCGAACTGGTAATAAGATGAACAACACCACGTACAAGTCATTTCTTCATGAAAATCTCAACTTCTTTGCCACAAGGAACAAATGAGAATTAAAGTTTTTCATACTAAAATGACATTTGATAATCAATTTTGCTTTTAGTCATATAGGATCCTATATGAGTTTTCATTTCACATTACATTTTATGAAAAAAAGTTTTAGAAGATTGCATTTTTTCATATATGACATGGAAAAATTAAAATTCATAAATCTCATTTGAAATGGAAATAAGTTTTAGGATATCTTTTATCACATAGGAGGTGGTAATTTCAATTAACAATCTTAATATGTTGTCAATATTATGACATCACAATCAATTTCTGACTAGCACAGCCTATGATAAAAACAAACGATCCAGGGTATATAACACTAATTAATGTCACTAATTAATGTCATAAGGAAAATTTATTTGGGCCAATTCAATGAATGATGGTGGCACCAAGATCCCTCTGTTCCTTTGTTTATATATCACACAGCCATAGCATGAAAAATCAAGGTGTACCCAAATAAACAGCATATTTTGTTGAGGTGAAAATTGATTTTATTATAATTTCAGAAGGGATATTGCTTGAGACAAAGTCCAAATGCAAAAAAAAATTTAAAAAAATAAATAAATAAAAACAGAAGACAGGATTAAATAGTAGCTTTTTCGTTTATTTTATAATAAATAATATATCGACTGAGAGGGAATTTGTTCATATGCAACTAAGTCTTTACATTACTGTTAATAAGCTGAATTAGTAAAAATCTAAGCACATTGAATAAAGTATATATTGCAATTGTAAATTTTGTTAAAGTTGGCCATTAATTTACACTGTTTACATTACAAAGCAACATGAGATAGTGTGTAATATTTACGACAACATACACCACAGTTATTGTAACACTACAGTGCTGTATATCACTCCGAGGCTGTTCAGCACATGTATCGTGTAATAGTATATCTACTTCACCAACAATTACTCAGATGGATTTACAATGTATATCTATGTAATAAAGTAATTGTTGGAGGAACTTGTAAGGCTATAGTTGTTCAGAACACTGAATAGTTTTCCATAAATTAGCGCATCTTGTTTCAGAAACAAACTTTAATCCAAACTCTTGTTTAAACAAAGCTAAATATGTTCAAAAAACAGTCTGATCATTTTGTTCTATACGTGATTTCAAAACAGAAAATCTCATTTGTCACCAAATCAAATTCTTTAGTCGAAATCCTTCCAGACATCTGTGGTGATCTGGATCTGATAAGGCCATATAATTTCATTGGAAAATTCACAATATCATTCCCACCTGTTATAGTGGGAAATAACGAAATGTAGTTACACATCCTGCCACAACAGGTGCACTATCTCTGTAAATACTGGCTCACTAACAGAAACATCTCAATAACAAGAATCATATAACATTTACGTGTATATATATATATATATATATTTAATATCCAACATAACTCTGGAACGAGACTTACACAGAAGCAAAACATATCACAGTCATTGTTCACTAACATACAAACATCCAGGTCATCTCTACGACCACAGCGATGACCTTGCAGATCTCAATTAATAATTACATTTGTATCTTGTCTTTACGACTAACATTTTTTCATCAATACACATATTTACACAAATGAAGCATTATCTGCAAATTATATGATTTATGTTGTCCAAGTGCAGTGTTTAGTGTCATAGGAGTTATCTCCCTTCACAAGAGTTGACATGCTGGAATTTTCCAGATAGTGGTTGACCAAAAAATGTATCGTTGTTTTCAAATAAGAAAAATGTGCAGAAACGTATGGAGTTTAAAACAAAAATTAAAAAAGGAAAAAATACATTGAGTAAAAATTCACCTATGAATGACAAGTTGAAAGGCTTAAAAATTCTGCGGGTAATTTGAGGAAAATACATCATGTTTTGATTCATTGAAATATCAAGTCTATTCTGATAACATTGTTATCTATACTATTGTACAGTTCTTACACTGGTTAATAAGTCTGACATGGATGAAGCCGTTACAGTAAGTCCCAATCTATCATACAATGATATTGGATGTGGACACAATAAGATTATTACTTGGCACTTAGAGGGGATAATGATCTATAGGCACTACAGTCTGAAGGAAGACCTGTGGTCGTACACAAGGCAGAGTATGTAATCATCACATACATCCAATAGATATCAACAAGTTGGAGTAAACATTCCAAATATCAATGTTGACAATATTTATCATAAATCCCAATCTTACCCAAACTTGTATTAGGGGATTATCAAATCAAACAGGACTGTCAAATCAATGTGTGATATTTTACACAAAGTAAAACATCTGGAAGCTGACATTTTATCATAAATTGAAATGTTTTCTGCCAATTTTTGAGATTCCTCTACAGAGTGATAACTAATGAATGAAGTATAGTTTGGCTAGTGTATCCTGTTCTTTTTACACATGAATACTTGTGTACAGTTTTGTCTAGTACTGACTAGCATCTGATACCAAACAAGCAAACACATTCATATCAGCCACACATTTACTGCTCTAAGCATATAAAAAGCACTCTCTTCAATGGAAATTATATCACAGAAAACGGTACAACACTCAGTACCTATAAATTGTACAGTACAAGTCTGGGGACCTGTACATAGAACTCATGAATATTCACAACGTTTACAAATACATGAATATTCATTAAAACTGAAAAGTGTAGAATAGTCAATGTATATGAAATAATGAAAACCAACAGAAATTGAACTAATGCCAAATCATGCATCACATGATCCAATACAATTGGACAGTTTGAGCTTTTTAAGCACTACATGACTCTAATGAACACATGCCCATATTAGGCGGCAACATACATGGAAGCCTGGGAGCTTTTGGTCTTGTTACAGAGATCAACAACATGAGATGTACCACTGGTGTTACCAACCTGGTCAGGTCAGTGTTAAACCCACAGAATAAAATCACACCACACATGGCAGTTTGTGTTAACTTTAACCAGGCCATCCTTCTGCTCTCATCCACGAAAGAGATTATCTGGCACTGTATTATCATTATTGTCCAATCAAAAGTGTTCTTCTAAGGAGTAATTTCGAAACATACACTTGCTAATAACCCCTGTCGTTTGGTTAGAAGAATCTTAATGAGGATTAACGAATACATCAAAAATAATCCTCACATTTTTTGAATGGACGAAAGATCATACTTGGAATATTGGCCTCTCTGAATTTGAGAAGTCCATACTGTAGTGGTTGGTTGGAGTATTTCTAGTGATAACACGATAAACTAGAAGAATTCCTCTGGGACACCAAGTTCTTCACAGTCAGACTCGATGGATTCATCACCATCACGGAGTTTCCAAGCCTCCTCAGGAGTAGATATTGGTTGAAAGCCTGCCAACTCTCCTCTGATTCTCTCTATCTCTTGGAGGTACTCTTGTTTCTCCCGACCCGTCATCCTTGGTGTATCACAGTCTGATTCTTCATCAGGGAACAAAACTTTGTTCATAACTGAATAAATAAATATTTGCACAATCAATCTGTTATCATAACACTCAAATCGAAATCAAACTTATTGTATACAAAGGAAAATCTCCTGATTTAATAAAAATTATAAAGTCTACCAATATCTTTGCTAAGATGAAATATTAACACCAACAACATCTTTCATTTTAAGGGTTTGTAAACATGTTCAACTACATGTAATCTGGAAAATGTAAAACATGAATGCCCTTGCTGCATTGGACATAAATATCACTGTTGGATGAATTTGTGACCTCTGACCCTTTAACTTTGACCAATGACCACCTTAATATGTGTTAATGTGTAGAACTTCAGGCTATGATACTATATATAGAGTAGATCTGTTGAGAGGTTCTGAAGATATTGTTTCAGAATGGTACAGGGCAGATGAACATGCCCCCTCCCCCACTCCCATAAAATAGTTTGATGTATAAACTTTAGGGAAAATGATAGTTAACAGATGATACTATTTTTTAATTGTAAGTTTAAACTCATTTACTTGAAACGGATAAGGATATAACTATATTGGCTAGAGGACAAACTTATAACACATGAGACACAACAATGCAGGTCTTTCAAGACTGCTTGTATCTCTTTAGCCAACAGACTTTCTTGTGCCTAACAACTAATTATACAAGTTCCTCACCATGGACATGGTGTTCTATCTTCCTGAGGTTGTTGAGGATTCCAGCCAGTTCCTGATTGGCTGAATTCCAACCAGGCATGTCACCTGACACACTGCTGGCCTGGTCCAGCATTTCATCCATAGGGGAGACAGCCGTACCATTCTCTATCCTCTCATGGTCCCTGTAGGTACAGACATTCTTAAGTAAACAGTGTCTAACAAACATAACTACATATTTTGACAATACTTTCAGGATTTCAGAATTTTGAACAGTTGAACATAATAAATATCTATAACATACTAAGTGTTCACAGTGTCGGTCACAGAAAAAAAACTCCCTTTCAAGATAAAAAAAGTTCAAAAGTTCAACTATGAGAAACATTTGTCAGTATACAGTATGTGTATGACTAAAAATAAGCAGGCTTCTGGTACCAAATTGCCACATGGTAATAACTAAGGGTGACGTATATATCTGTTTCTGTTTATTTTCTTGGCAAGATGACAAACTCAAGACTGTAAATTTCAGAGAAAATAAAAACCCATAAGTCTTAGAGGACACGTTACTTTCTTCTCCACTTATCTTTACCTTTAGTGATTCCCCCAGTGCAATAAACCAACATTATCATAAAACATCAAATTGTCTTGCACATCATCAATTAAATTTCTATATATGAATACACTGCCCTAATGAATACCATTAAATGACATGTACATGCATTTCAATAGTGGAGACTTAGCTTTGACTGGGCTTGGAATCCCAGTTATAAAACTTACTTGAGTTTTTTCAGTGACTTGTCAGTTGATGATTTGAGCTTGAGCGACAACTGATAGATGGAGGAGACCAGGATATTGTCGTAAGACTGCAAAAGACAAATGTAACATTATAACCTAGTAAATAAATACAGGTTCATGTTTAATTCAATGAAACAACCTGGAATAAGATAATTATGTCTCAAGGTATCATGACAGGATATGTAAAACATAAGGTAGGTGTATGGTACGAACACACAGGCTACGGAATTCACAGTGATCAATGATGTGTACAGTAGAGGGCTATAATTGAAAAAATTGACTAGGTAACCTAGGTGTTATTGGAATTAAGATTCCTTGCTGAACTTATCTCCTTCAAGTAAGGAAAACTAGAACTTAAAAGACACTACATGATTCCTGAAACTATTTCCATCTCCTTACTATTTTATGCTTCATGACATTCACAATGCATACAAAGTCAGTCACAACTTAATATCTATACATTGACATGTTTTGTCTAAATGTCAGTCATTTCCTAAAATAAAATATAAAAATTCAACAGGTTTTGTCAAAAAGATCAGTTATATTCTATAACATAATATACACAGTGTATAAATTCAACATATTTTGTCAAAAAGTCAGTAATATTCTATAATATAATATGCACAGTGCATAAATTCTACATGTTTTGTCTGAAAGTCAGTGATATTCTATAATACAATATATAAATTCTACATGTTTTGTCTAAATGTCAGTGATATTCTATAATATAATATACACAGTGCATAAATTCTACAGTTTTTGTCAAAAAGTCAGTGATATTCTATAATATAATACACACAGTGTATAAATTCTACAGTTTTTGTCAAAAACTCAGTCATATTCTACAATATAACATACACAGTGCATAAATTCTATATAATTTAACATGTTTTGTCTAAATGTCAGTCATATTCTATAATATCATATATAAATTCTACATGTGTATGTTTAATATATTGTAAGGCTATGGCTGCCAAATTTTACTACCATCTACAAAGCAGAGCTTGTGAGGTTTGCAGTTCTAACTAAGGATACTTTATTCTAGCATTGGTAGCAGGTTTTGTTGGAATGAAAGCTAGTAATAGAAATGAGCTGTTTATATTGTACTTGGCAACTGATTACAGAGAAGAAATACAGTAACACCCATGTAGAGGTACTGTGTCGGAATACAATGATACAAATTTGAACCAAAATATATTGAAAGCATGTACAAAATCACGATGGTTTAAACGTAATTCAATGTTCAGGAGTTTACACAAATCAAATTTAATTTATTAAAGCTCGTGCAAGTTCTCTCTGCTTGACACTACCAATGATACGAGATATTGCTGATCCATGCATCTAAAGTATCCAAGCTGACCATGCCAGATGTATAGTACCATAAAACATGAACAGTAATACACCAAACATCTTCAAAAAATAAAAACATGACCAAAGGTGAACATCTCAGTCACCAAAACTTTGCAACCAACATTCACCCAAATAGAAATAGTGACCGGCATTCAAGGGAGACAACCATTGGAACCTAGAATCATCAGCATAATACAATCTTGTACTTAGAGATGTTAGTACGTTAGAAATGAGGTCAACAAGTAACATGCAAATGATCTTATATCACAAAGCTAATGAAAAAAAGATGCTCATTTCGAAAGCTGCATAAGGAATCTTTTAACAATTGGCATATGTAGTTATCGATTGATAGATGTAAAAGTGTGTATGGCTTTCAGTCTTTACATTTCAACTTTTCTGAGATGATTTTTTCACATTTACAAAAGAATTTATCCTTTAATTGACTCAACAAATTTTTATATAAGGGACTAACATGTTTGATGTAATAATCTGTTAACCAACTAGAAAACTAGTCTCTGTGGCCATCAGAAAGTTAATCTGTGTGGTGGCAAATCAGAACATCAGACATCAGCAGACTGTCACGTTTGGTGTTACGCACAATGTGTATGACAATGAATCTAATCATGTGACTACCTATCGATGACTCTATGATGAAATAAATAACTATATGCTACAAGCGTTCGGCTCACTTAGACAAATTTGCAAGATATTAGACAGCATGCTGAATAGTGGATAACATTGCATCATTTAATTATCAAACGATAAGAATGCAAGCAAGAAGTGTGGTCACCCTAACCAGAAAGGGACTATGGGGTCCAGAGTTAGGTAGGTAACAACATGGGTTAGTAGGCATTGCCTCTGAGTAACATAATAAAGATGGCAACCAACCTGGATGACAGGTATTGTGGGTTCAGAGTATTTCCTTGAAGGGGACGTATGATTGTATGGGCAGGAGTTGTCCATGGAGGGACGGGGTTTAAATAATGAAAGTGGCAGGGGTGAAGGTGGGGAAGATGGAGACATCAATTTGGGGGGTGGTGGGGTGAAGGCTGACATGTATGGTACACTGCCCAGCAAACACCGACTCAGGTCCTACAAAAAATGGCACACATTAATACACACAATTCTACAACACATATGATCACACAGAGACTTGATGAGTGCAGCAAACAAAAGGTCAACATGCATAAGTTTATCAGACAAAGGCTGTAAGACAAAGCTGATATATTGCACATTTACTATGAATTTTATGAAATTGAACTATGAAATCGACAAAATGGAACCTTTCACATAGTCATGCATTGAGCAGTTGCAAAGCAGAACTAACATGAATTCTTTTCAGCTCTCCTTACTGTTTTTTCAGTAATCTTGGTATCTTTGGACAATGTCCCTTGACACATGTGAACCATGTTCCTGAAATGTGGCCATATACCTCCCCATATGTAGACAATACCCCTTGGTATTTACCGTTATAGAGAATTTCCAGCTAAGATATGTTACAGACCTTTCATTCTAACCGTCAATGGAAACAAACTGATTTTCACAGTAATATATTGCATCTTCTTGTTTTTCCCATGTAACAATCTACCTTCACTTCAACCAAGGGCAAATCTCCAATCTACCTGGGTCATTATGAACATATTCTGTTGACTATATGAAAGAGTGGAAGTACTTACCTGTGAAGACTTCACCATCATGTTCATCTCCTCATCTTCAGAGCTCTGGTAAAGACGACTTGACTGTGACCTCCCAGAGTATGGAATAAATCCTCGTTGGGAGCTTGAGTCTACAAAAGAATTGTCAACTTCACTATTTGCACCTGTGCTAATTTCATCTGCACTTGACAATGAGGAGTTATCCCTCCTGTATCGCCTCAGTTCTGCTGTGTTAGTAAATGAAGCAGAGCGTGTCATTTTGGAATTTTTAGATGCGAGAATTCGTATTTCATCACCTCTTGACTTTTTGTCCTGTGTTTTTGCTTTGGCATTTGCCACAGCTTTTCTAGGATCATACTCCTTCCTTCGTCTCCACGCTGCCTTCTCTGCTGACTTGGGCGAGTTGGAGTGACTACTACTGGTCTGAGAGTTGGTGCTGCTCCTGTTAGAGCTACTCACTCCAGTTACAGATAAGCCTGCTGTTCCATAGGTCGAGTTTTTTAACCTGGCTTTGATTGATTTTATATCAGTCTTGCGTATATCAGTTCCCAAAGTAGACACAGGGTCAGAGCTAGAGTTAGTTCGGTTGAGACGTAAGCTGTGTCTACCTCCGTCTCGACGCAACAAATCACTGGTAGAGCGAGCATTATTGCTACGACTTCTGGCCACAATTTGTCCTCCAAGACTCATATCACTGCGAGCAGAATCATTTGTCTTGTCAGCACTTATACGTGACTTTGATGAAGGTCGTGAAGTACTGGTCACAGAGGTAGTTCCCCTTGATGAAGTGTCAGATACTGAACTTACTGAGGACCCAGGTGTGGTGGGTTCATCAGCTTCAGCTCGAGCACGTCTTAACTCAAATGCTCTGTTGGGGCGTGTCATAGTCATTTTACCCTTGCCTTTGGAATTAGACCTACTAAAGCTGCCCTCACTGGGCTCAGTTTCTGTTGGGGTTTCACTGAGGACATCAGACACAACAGTTGACACATCCCCAGAACTGTGGCGCTTTGTGCTCTCTCTAAAAGCATTCAGTCTGGCTGTTGCAGAATTAGTCCTTATTAGAGTTGGCTTGTTTTTCTGCTGACCTGTTGTTGAACGCACTTTGGTTAAATTTTGTCTGGGACTACTGAAGTTTGATGGTTTTACATACTGATCATCTCCATTCACCATGGCAACCATGCTCTCATTATCTGAGAAGGAATCATTGGCTCCATTCACATGTGGGGGTTCTTTGGGTTTGTTGCTTGACTTTGAGCCCATTCGAGCTTCCATGGCAGCCATCACAGTTTCTGTATCGCGTAAGAGAAGTTCTGTATCCATACTGCCAGTACTACGTGCTGACCTTGAACTATGGGTTGTCCTATCACTCTCTATGGACACTGACCTTGAACTCCTGCTTGGTCGGTCAGTGTCTATATCTGACTTTGTCACACTAGTGAGAGCACTCGTGGCCACACTTTCGCTGTCGCTACTGAACTTTGTCCGTGACACTGATTCAGTGTCTGTGCCATCATATCGTGACACCACCTGACTAGAGATTGTAACAGCCTTGGGTTTGCCATTTTCCAAGAAGACACCATCACTATGACGAGGAGTCATTATGCTGGGACTTCCTGTAGTCTCACTAACCCTTGAGCTGTGTTCACTACTAGCAGGACTTGTTTTACTGGACTCCCCTGGAATACTGGGAAGTTTTCGTCCTGTCCCCCGACGTCTCAGACCATGGCCTGACTTCTTGAAAGTTTTCTCATCTGGAAAAAAAATTTGTTAAATATTTATCTGAGATATCCTTACATCAACATCTTCAACGGAGATAATTTAAACTGATACCTTTAATGTGAGATATCCTTTCACTTTCAACTTCATTTGATATATCCTTACACCCACACCTTGATACACGATGTATTTATACTATTACCTTTATCTGAGGAGTGACTGTGGACTGAGCTAGGACTGGAGGCGTCCATGTTGGATGATTTAGATCGGGACTTCTGATTGGTCAGTGCAGCCCATTGTGTTACCCATGCTGGCGCATCACTTGGTAGGGTGGTGCTTGGGTTGTCCTGCAAATCATTAAGAAAGACAATCAATCCCTAACACAAACAAAAGGACAGCTCCATACAGTCAATGTGTTCCACTTTACTTTTTAAGATATCTTAGTGTCTCCTAAGTCAAATTATGGCTGGACATATTTTGCATGTGTATATCTATGTAAACTATGATGTAAAATATGTGTGACACTTTAATAAGATATTTCATTATTACATAAAGTAATCACCAGTACAAACAATAGGGCAGTCCCTGTTGCCAAAGGACCAAAGAACACATGACTTAATCTTCAACAAAACAACAGGACAGTCCCTATAGCCATAGAACATGTCAGTTTTGATATTCATAATCAGATAATGCTGCATAATATGAATACTGCACAGAGAATTGCGTTCAAGTTTAACAAATATTTCATGAGCAGTTTTATCTGATTGGTCAAATTTGTGAATAAGGCAAAGATACCTCCATACACAAAAACATATATAAGAACTCTTTTGTGACAAAGCTGAAGAGTGATAAAATAGTTTGACTTCCACATAACAGTACATAAATTTTACCTTATCATTTAGTCAATACTAGGGAATTTGTGAGTTTGGGGATTTTCACAAAACTCTTCAAAAGTGATTCACAATAAATGTAAACTCACTGTTCAATTGTTGTGACACAATAACATCAATTTTTCCAATTGCCTGAATACCATCAAAACTTGATCTATATACAACTACATACATTAGTGATCAGTGTAGGTAGCAGAGGAGGTAACAAACTGTAAGATGTGTCACAACACTACCAGTAATTTCTCTTGTGGTTGTGTGTTATCTGCATACACTATACAGGGCAATAGATTTGTTATGATATATAGAAATTGCATTGTGTCAGGTCTACTGTAATAAACATGTCTCATTCTATAGTCAGCGAATAACTGTCTGTCCTCCACAAAGATTAATGAAGTCATGGATTAAACAGGGAGCAGAAATAAAAAAGAAAACACAGTAGATTTGGAAATGTTCCCATAAGAATAGACACCGGAATGAGAGTTATTTGTAATCTAGGTCAGAGTGACAGGTAAAACACACAGGTAACTTATTTATAGGTCTCTTACATGAAAATGTAAATACTTAATTGTACTATAGCTGTTTTGTGGGACATCAATAATAGTTAGTCTAATTAACACACAGGTAACTTATTTATAGGTCTCTTACATGAAAATGTAAATACTTAATTGTACTATAGCTGTTTTGTGGGACATCAATAATAGTTAGTCTAATTAACATCTGTAGGCGACAATCAGCTGACAGACCACTAATCTGTACAGAACATGTCAGGACAAGGTTATAGGTGGGTTAATAAATACTGTATTTACAGGGAAATAAGCCCAGAAATGATAATATGTCCACTTATATATATTGTTGGTTTTAATAATGTCAGGAGGTCACAGAGAACCAAGGGCAAGAGGGTCACACAGGGTCAACTGTTTATGGTCATCTCAGAAGGGTTACACGGTTACAGTATTGTTCCGAGTGTCTTATAGCAGCAAAAGTCACAGTAATGTCCCCAACATACAAAAATGTGAGTTTGGTCTCACATTTGATTGAATACTTATAATGTGGTGTACAAATATGGCTGGTTTTGTTATCATTTCACAGAAAGTATTTAATCTTTATCTCACTGGTTGTGTAGAATTTGACAGGAATTATTTCATCTTTATCCTACTGGCTGTGTAAACTTTGACAGGAATCGATTAACCTTCAACTTCCGGTAGAATTTCTGTCAAGTATCTATATCAAAGCCTAGTGTCCTGTTGAGATACCTTCCACCTCCATCCTGCATTCCTCAAGCCTGAGCCTAAATACCAACCCTATTATGTGTATTGGGGCAGCACTATCTATGATAGAGCTGGGGACCTCATGGTGTCACCAACCTTTATTAACCAGCCAGGTAGAACAGGCCCATAGTCTAATTAAGATCTTATCACCAGTTTGTAGTTTTATTACAAGTAATGACAAATAATACAGGTACAATATCTGTTACCTCAAACCCAAAAACAGTTCTGATGTATGTATAAGTCTAAAGATCATCTCAGGTACGGTCATCAAGTGGACATATACCATGTACCTTATTGTTGATTAGCCAGTAGCAATGTAGACCTCAATCACATATTTCTACATGTTTCCATTTTGTTTCCCCCTACATTCACATCAAGTTTCCACTTACACTTGTTACTGACCCTGTCATATTTCTGTACCTCAGATCAACACTTTTTAATTGTATTAATTTTATTCTTTCAAAGATACACATGGCACCTATATACAGAAGTATTATTATATATTACTGACTATTGCCTACACCTTCTACACAAATGTACAGTGATACAAGTGTATATGGCTTGTCATATGTAAACCTGTGTGCTTTTTATGTGCACAGACATGGATTGATGTCAACATGTCAAATATATTACTCATGAACTCAGAGTCTTGGTCTAACTTCAAATATCACCTGGAAAACAGTTACCTGTAGGCATTATCAACAGGATGAACTTGTCAATGACTAACTTTTAATTAAGATTGGTGTGATTAATGTAAGTAAAGCAGCTACATACACACAGAAAATCTTGACAAAAGTAAGACATGAAAAAGTGAAAACCAAGCTCAGATTTGAACCAAGGACCTCAAAATTTAATGGCTATGCTGCCTTAGTTATTTCGCAATAAGCCCATGTCTGGTTAAAAGCTCATCCATGATTCAGCAGAAATACCAACAAATGGTATCCCCGGTAATAATAAACCCACTATCCTATCAAAAGTAGTTACCATTTAAATTTCATTTTCTACTTAAAAGATCCACCTATTACAAAAACCTGTAATAGTTTATAGACAAAATAAGCATACACATTTATCTCTGTGATTATATATACCATTTTTAACGTCCAGGTGTGAACATGCCCTTTATGGCTGTTAATGGATTACCCACCTTTAACTTGTCAATATGACCATTCCTGTTGGACGGCTCAAAGAAGGAATTGATCAGTACACTGTCCATTAACAGCTGGTTTGCCATTTTGTTTCTACTGCACTAATAATCCAGTACTACCTCACTCAGATCTAAAGACTAAGAAATCGCCATGTGCACCTGAGTGTATTGGTGAGTTGCTGTCCTGTAGTACGAGTGTAGTAATGTGTTCTGTGTACTGCTGTGTACACCGTTGTCACCCAACACTGCCGGATGTTTTCTTTCTACACTACACTCATGACTGCCCCAACACTACTCACACACCAGTAGTTTTTCCTGTCAGCTATCTACCTGTGTAACAGTCAACCCACAGGTAAATTGACATATACAGTATAGGTAGATAGTGTACACCCGACCACAGCCTGTTAGGCTAGTAAACAGATGGGGTAGATATAGATCTTTCCTATAATTCACAAACACCAGCAAAGCTATTGATAATTGTATATCTGAGTTGATCAGTGTAAGGCTTGGAGAACTCTGTAAAGGCTTTCCTTCCTGTGTCTTTTTTATCCACCCCTACACAACCACACAGGTCAGCCTACAATGGCATTAGGCTGTCTAGAGGTTTTACTTACAGTAAACCGGCTCTTACACCTGAGCATTGTTGTAGTGAAAGCCCATGGTAAGTTAAGATTAAACAGAATAAATACCCTTGCTAATGGTTATGTATTTGCTACACCTTCGTGAAAAACGCCCAAACCATGTTCTCAATAGAAAATCGTTACCATATAAATACAGTGGAAGGTCATGGCATTTACATAAAGTATCCAGTAAAGAGACATTCTTGTGTGGATGTATTTATAGACACAACAAATCTTCTCCTTGATTATCACACGGTGAAGAAAAACATCTGTTGAAGATTTATTTCTTTATTTCATGAATTTTGAAAACATATGTGAAATTTAAATCACATGAAGAACAACATGCATAAATATTTTACTTATATTGTGTGATCAATGCTGTTGTGTCTTTCAAATGTATCAGATTATGATAATTACTATTTAAATTTCAACATCTATCCAATGTTTAATCAAATAATTCCATTCAAGTCTCAGTAGAACTGCTACTTTCTGTCTCTACATAAAATATCCTTAAAAGTTTAATATTTCATAAAAATACAATATACATGTTGGCTGAATAATATTTATTTTACAATGATAATTTTAACCTAAATATAGCCCTTGACTTTGATCTGTATGACCTTGACCTCTCTGTTACTACCATTTACAAGGACTGTTGCACTGACTAGAAGTCCTTGTTTGTAAGTATTAATGTTAGGACATGTTTTACAATGTGACAATAAGGTCAAGGTCACATAGCGTTATTCACCTGTTTCCCTTGATAGACCCATTGTGATGGATTTATGATGATTTATGATGAATGGGAAGTGAAGAATAATTACACATTACAGCAGTCTAATAATAAACACAATCCATTAATATCCTGGATAACAACGGGATAATTAATATACAGACGTGAGGAAACATTTCACTGAATAAATGACTAGTATGGGCAAGTGTCTCACAGAGCACCTCGACACCTTAAAACTGATCCGTCATTGTTACATACAATATTAATTGTTTAAGCTGGCCCAAAGGTTAGGAAATTGCTTAAGATTTACATTGAAATCTAAATTTTAAATCAGAATTAATTCCAAAATTTGTGTGATGTTCAAGTTCTATATATCATAATGTGAGTTTGCATATGCGTCCTTGTACATCATACAATCATGATTAAATTTTGAATCCAAGAGTTGTATGTATACACATATTACATGTACTTAATTTTCCAGCTGAGTCTTTTCAAAATGTTGCCTTTATCGATAGGGATATCATCTATTGTGCTTCAGGAAACGTCATTCCCATGTTGTTCACTGGGAAAGAGACGGACTGACTAAAAGCCCTTAAATTCATTTTTTAAAGAAATGACTAGATGCATCCTTATATTTCCTATCTCCCTTTTGTTTAAATCACACACATCCAAAAGATACAGATTATTTAAATTTC